TGTGTGTGTGGGGGGGGGGTTACAGGTGAGCCTTTGTGTCAAAAGGTTACATGTTCTCTTCTGGCTTGAGGAAGATCCACAACTCTCAGCGTTGTAAAACACCTTCAAAACCCAGAGAAATAACAGAAAAATATATTGTCAAGCCAAACACAAGGCTGTCATTTTTAACTTCTGAAAATGTGACATTTTGTAGGTTTTCCCACAAACAGTAACAAGCTAGGTTTTGTGCAAGAAACAGTTGCTGGAGTGAAATGTTAAATCGTGTTGGTCCAAAGTCTGAGAGATTTCTTTGAGAAACTTGCTTGCCTCTGAGGCTATTTTAAATCCGACAGCATGAAAGTAAGTTGAAGAGATTGTCTTCACGGAATCAGTTCAGAGGCGCCACAGTTTAGGTCTGCAGCAGTTCGCACTAGGTTTGGTACTAGATGGGCCCATATAATTTATCTCTTCAGCTCCACTCAAGTGTCCCTGGCAGAAATATCAGACATGAGGCGACGATGTGTTTGAAAAATCCATGGAGATTATTCTAATGCACTGGGCTTGAGCATTACACACATACTGCAACAGCATACTGTTTTGGAAACAGGAAGCATAGCCAGTGAGATTTTAAAAAATATCAGTTTGTGTCCCCCTCTGTGTTGGAAAGACCTATTGAAACATCATGTTCATGTTCTGGAAAACATGAAAGCTGCGACGGAAAATGGGGGGAAGCAACTGTAAAAAGATTACAGGGACTGTCGGGATGAGAACCCCCGAACCACAGACACAAATCCTGGAGCCTTAATGAGCTAAAGATTTGCCTCTGAGAAGAAAGAAGAAATGGTGCAAGTGCTCCCTGTGTGAACTTAAATAACCCGCAGCATGATAGAAACATGGACTTTGAAGTTTGATTACGTGGCGGAATTGCTATCACACCTTAACGTCGCACTGATTTCAGTCTAGAGTCTCAGTTACGTGCTGATAAAACTGAGGAAAAGAAATGAAAACAAATTCCACCAAATTAATTCTTGGACAGAGGGAAATATTCAAAAGAAATGCTGAAGCATGATTTAAATCACAACCTTTGAAGACCAAGATCATCAAATGTTGTTTGATGTTGTCACATTTTACAATACAGAAGCAAAATGGAAGGGGTTGTTTTGGGCTGCTAGGGTTCCAGAAAGTCTTCTTTCTGCATCGACAATAACTACCAAGACTAACTTCTCACTAGCTACCACTGCTATGGAGATGATTAAGAGGAAACCAGGACAAGTGCAAAACAATGTATATAAGGACAAGCTGTGCAAGCCTTTTACATCTTTCCAGGTTGAAATAAACCAGAATTTTTTACTTTAATATCCAGCAGTTCATCTGATAATTATATATTAACTGATATTTTCCAGATTTTTCTTATAAACAAACATGACGTAACCCAATATCTGGATATGGATACCTTGAATTTGGTTATTGAAGTATTGTGATCAAGATACTGTAAGAACTGAGCAGTGTGTTTTACAATTGAAAAGTTAACTTGTCTGTGCTCTCGGTTCAAATGTTTCTTGTAACTGATTGACTAAAATATAAGCAGATGTTGAGATATCTGCAATGACCAAGTTTCAGTTTATATACTGACCCAGCTGAGGGATTAGTTGGCCTGTATCAGGCGACTTGGCCTTGGATGGGAAGGAAACTCTCCCTGTCTAATCATCGGTACAAAAGATGAGCAACTGCGTTAGAAAATATCTGGTTCTTAGATAAAAATATACTATCTATGAACTGCTGTTGCGTGTACTGCTAACAGCGCGCTAAAGCTGAAGGTTACACTGATAATACCCTTTTGGATTTTGGGTCAATGCCAAATGAACACAGCAACTATGGTGTCATGTTTCTAACTACAGCAATGAAATGTTCTGAGTTTGCCACTTGCTAAAGGTGACCAGGCGGTTGTAGTCAAAGCCCCTCAGCTCTGGAACCTACCTGAAGAAAGTTCCTCCTACTCTGTGACTTACATTTTTCATTTCATTTGAGGCATTGGCTTAAACACAGAGTGACTAACAGTGAGATGTCAGCAGTTCACAGTCTTTCTAATAACAACACAACCTTTCTTCTGCAAGCTGAACCTCACTACAGCCTTCCTTTTAAATCTCACCCCTTCTCTCTCTCTTCCACATCTAATTGGCCATTAAATAATTACAATATATAAAACGCTGAACGATGGCCGAGTGGCCACGCAGGAGAATCTCCCTCTCCTGGCGGAAGGCAGCTCGTATCGCCTAAACTATCTAACATTGCTTCTGGCAACCAACTGTTAAATTGGCCATCTGCAATTTTTTTCTCTCCTTCCTGCAGTGGTGGCAGGCCGACAGAGACCGGAGTCAGGCGGGAGAGAAGAAAGTTAGCTGCTATGTGTTATCTATATAATGGCAGGGGTCTCCTGAGAGTTGGAGGTGCCCAGACAGACCACGGGCTGCGTTTTTCGAGTGGTTTAAAATCCAAGCCTCGGGCCTGTCTGACCACAGGAGAGAAAGGATAGATAGTGTCTGTTTGTTTTGATTAGGCAACTGAAGAGCCACTGCAGCTCAGGCTCAAGGACTGAGCCAAAAGAGAGCCAACATGAAGGTACTGCATCCATGTGTATGTGTGTGTGTGTGTGTGTGTTGGCTTGTCTTCATTCAGAATTTACAGAGGATTTCTTTCAGTGTCCTACATGACTGATGATACTCTTGTCTCCACAAAAGCCTCAAGATGGATGGATGGAAGCATACTTGTGCAGTGCAGTGTGTGGACGTGGACTGATGAGCCCGTCTCTGCGTTCATTCAAACCGCTGTCACTCACAGCGAGAAAAATGCCTGGGGTGTCCAATTGCAGCATAAATTTCAGAAAAAATTAGAAATATCACAAAGAGGACTGACTGCAATCACAAGCGTGACTTAACTAAATCCTTACCTTCATATGTTCCGCTCTCTAGAAGGGCTCCACTTTTCTCCAATTCCATAAACCGGTCAACGGTCACGAAATTATAATCCACCCCAGGGACTTCTCCTTCCTTGGGCTGCCTGGTTGTGCCTGCAGGAGATAAGCGAGAAGAGTTAGAGCTGCTGCGGCTTTGAACGCCTCATCACTGCTGAATGAGAGGAGACTTTGAATAAAAGTGAGTCTTTGTCAGTGTTTTAGAAAAAGATCAGAACACACCAGAGCTGAAACACGCTGACCCTGACCCTGCTCTATGCATTAAGTGCCCTCTTTATTCCTTCTTGTCCCTTTCCTTCTTGCACCGCAGAGGCTGAATGTTTGAGCAGTGTGCTTTTTGGGGCGGGAGAGTGGCAAGGTACCACTTCAGGAGCTAAGTGATGCAATTTGGACACCAAGAGGAGAAATCAAGTCAATTTGCATGGGGCTGACAGCATGTCGAGGACTCCCTGACAGGGAGCTGCACTTCTGCCAGCTGACTGCAACACAGGAGTGATGAAAATATTTTACTCTGTAATAGCAGCATTTTAAGTCAAATTCACTGACACCTCATCACTCCTCCAAAAACAATGTGTGTCAAAGTATTTATCATGTTAAACTGAGGTACAAACGACGTCCTAAATACTTCCTCATCACCGTGTGCTAATTAGACTTGTTAAAACCGATTCCGGCTGTGATAACATGCAGGCACTCTACCCCAGAGGTGCTGAATGGGTTTTCACATCTGAGCAAGGGTTGTTCATACTGAAAGAGGAATCCGTAAAACACACTTGTTATACCCTCACTACAGCATATAAAGTGTCCATCTGTGTGTTTTAAAGTTAGCAGGGGAACAACTGTGTCACTGATCACCCCGGGTAGGTGGTGCGGGGTGATGTGACTTTAAAAGCCCACCTGACATCGCTCCTGCAACGATGCCTTTGAAAGGTACTGTGCTGTGCAGTCATGGAGCAGGGAGACCAAGGAGTATGCAGATTTAATGTCTTTCAAACATTCATTACAAAACTTGTAAATTTCACAAAGAGAACTATTTAGAAAAAAGCAGTTTTTCTGACTAACCTATGGGAAAAAAGGGTAGACTTAAAAGGCCTGTAATGCTAGAGAAGAACTAGTTTCTATGTTTTATGACCACCTTCAGAAGATAAATGTGTTCTCGAAGGCAGATTGAAAAGCAGTTCATCATAAAGAGGATAGAAACAATGATTGTTTAAATGTGGGCTAATGTACATTTCCAGACTTGGCTTGTTTGTAAAAGTGACAGAAATACTTTTTTAAAAAGAGAGATCTTGATGGAGAAGATCAGAATCCAATCATGGTGTGAAGTGCGTGAGACAGACTGTCAAGTTACAGAACTTGTTGGACACAGCTCCCCTAATTCAGACATCAGACAGTAGTGGCGGGGGTTTCGGAAGTTGTTCGGCCTTCCGACAAGCCCCCCTGAAGAGCTGCTTCAAGAGTGCACCAGTATGCTTGTAACAAACAACTTTGTCCATGTGTTGTTGGACCATGTCTGAAGGTAAAAGTGTTAATAGCTGTTATGAACGTCAAAAGATGTCAAAAGGGATGACAAGTGATAATTTTTCAAACTGGGAAAATGGCCAAAGCATTCAGGCTGTGGATTCATTTGTACACATAAAGTGACAAAGTAGTGATGTGAAACATACTAAGTACAAAAAAAGATGTGACCATCGACAGTATGTAATTAGAAGACAGAGCTTCCTGGTCTGTGAAGTGAAGCCAATGACGAAGTGTCTTAAAATTGCATTCTTTCTAATGGCCAGCAGGGGGCAACTCCATGGGCTACAAATAATAAATTGATTGTATTGAGTCTAATGGGAAAATGACCCTACTTCTAACTTGATTAATGACTGCAGTAAACCGTTTCCTAATAAGTTTATGGTCCCTATTGCTAGTTTCAAGTCTTAAATAAGTTAAAGTAGGGTATTTGTTAAGGCGTGGCTACCTTTTGATTAACAAGTCATTCTCAGGGAGTCTGTCTCGCGCATCTGGGCTGGTACGTGTCTGAAAAAAGTTGAATCCATATTACTGAATGGATGACCTTGTCATTTCTGAACTGAGGAAGCCTTTTCATTAGAACAGCAAAACATCTTCAATCAAAACTCCAGAGATATGGTTTCAACTTTCTCCAGGCGGCATCAAACAATGTAATGAATAGAAAATGAATCCAAATGAGGCCATTAAGCTGCTTGCCAAGCCTTTCCGATTTTGTCTTGTTAATATGCAGATTAATTGGTCCTTAAATGGATAAACTAAAGCCACACAAGTCTTTACAATCAGCTCGTCTGATGGAGACTGCAGCGGTTGAACTCTGGTTACAGAAGTAATTTTCTTCAACAAGCAATGAAGTTGTCAAACATGACTATCACATGGAATAAAGTGGCACCCTGTACACGCTATTTTAGACCTCCATACGGGAATTCACTGTCGACGACCTTTGAAGCTTAAACATCAAACTGTAACCTGCTGACTGAGCAATTTGTGTCTAAGAGCAAATGAGCAGCAGGGAACCCTGTTATTTGCTGGAAAAACTGTTGTGTAAAACGTATGTATGCGTGTGTGAGTGGGTATGTGTGTGTCACACCTCCAGTGGAGAGTTTCTTGATTGTGTCTGTCTGCATGGGGGCTTGTGTACCCGTCAGATTAGCCTGCCTCACAGGCAGAGCTACTGACTGAGCAGCACACACATTTCAAAGAGGACCTTTGATGTTGCAGAACTATATTTAGCAGCATCTTCTGGTGAGGACTTCTCTCGGGTGACAATTTCTAAAAGGAGGCAACCACAATGCCTCTCGATTTTCAGTCCTTTCTATATGGGTCATGGTCCTGTAGTGCAAATCAGCGATTCTATATAAAATACAGCAACCTCTGTGAAGCGCAGCAATAATGATCTTGGGTATTTTTAGGAAGGTATATAATCATTATTTACAATGCCTTGATTACAGAAAATTGGGAAACTCATTAAGGTTAAATACGCCGTCCATCATTTTGTCAGCCTGCGGGAGCTTGGATTCTCAAATCCCCTCAGGTGTGTTTCTGGATTTGGGCCATATCAGGAGTGTGGGAAGCTAAAAATAAGTATTGTTTTTTTTCACAGACATCCTTCCTTTGTCAGGCTCCTGTTTAGTTGGGAGACAGAATGAAACAGAAATACAGAAAGAGATAGAGATCTCAAAAGATAAACTAGATCATACTTATTTCCGATGTCAGTTGAGATTGTTGAAGAAGAAAATATCAAACAAATTGGAGAATTGCTTAATAATCCTCTCAGTAACACTAGACATATGGTACTTTGATGTAAACATCAAAGCATGTAAACATGATTACATCAAAAACCAGGAGCTTCACTTAGAACTGTGTAGAGTTGCTCCAGAAAAGACAGAGGAGCAGTTTCAATCTTTTGGTTTTACTTTAAGATCATCAGGAGCAGGTAAAGGTGTCAGGACATGACAGCTAATAAATCCCAGGTGTGTCAAAGGCCTAAACTCCTTGCAAGACACAAATCAACACATATCAACACCCAGTGCTCTCAATGCTTTAACTTTTAAAGTTATACCAAACCCAATGTCTGATACTGTATTCATGGCTGGTATTTATCCTGCTATAGAAATTAAATGTATGTGTTCAAATCACATGCATATGCACAAGGGATTCACAGGAAATGACATATCCACAGCCCGGGCAAAATTCAGAAGGGAAGAACCATCCCATGTGCACATTGCACGTAATGTGTATAGATGCACATATGTCATGTAATGACGTAATACAGCTGAGCATAACAGTTGGTCTATGGCATTTTGAAGAGGAAACATATTTGTGTCAGAACAATTATAACCGCATGGCTGAACAACTAGGGGAAAGAAAATAGAATGGTTGCTAAAATCAGTCCTTTAAACTAAACTTATGGGACCACCAGTAGCCACGGGAGTCTCTGAATCAACTGAAATCTGAAGGATGTATAACAACAGAAATAATTCATTAAAGTAAGCCAGAAGATATCCTACATCTTCAAGAAGTTTACTTGCTGCTGTTTCCCAGCCACCTCTTTCTACTACTGATTAAGATTTTAATCTTGAAGCCTTAAACTGACACTGCCAATATTCCCCCTTTTTTTAGGAGTAACTCTATTTTTATATGATTACACCAACTATCAATGCTTTCTAGGCAATAGCTTCATGTTTAGTAGTTATCCAGACCTGGCAAACATTCCCATTGTCACAAAGTGAACCACTAAATGTAAAAACAATTACTTTGGGATAAACTGTAGACATTAAAGCATGACATGGCACGGTAATGCACGACACAAAGTGGTGTTGCTATCAACAGATGTAATTACTATAACTACTAACTACTATTACTGCTGCTGTCTCAAAAGACAACAAACACATCTCGACAATGAAGAGTGGACTGGTGAGGAAGTAATTCGTTTCTTGCAGGAAATATTCATGGGATTGGTTTCTCTGCTTGGGATGCATGTTGACAAGACGGAAAAAGGGCACAAGAAGGCAGACGGAGGGATCATGAAGGCTATTGAGATTGTGGTAGTAGGAGTAAGGGGCAAGCATGGGTAGAAAGAGGGATGTATGAAGAGAGGCAGCATGTGTAAGGGATGAGAGAGCAGCTTAAGTTGTAGCGTGGGCTGAGGCCCTTGTAACCTACAGCCACCCTGCTGCTCTCCAGCACGCCCTCGAGCCAGATTCAACTCTTCAACCACAGGCCACAAGTCCAACTCTCACTTGGGCAGCTGAGCATCATTACCGGATGCCCCGGTCACAGCTAACACCTGTAGTGGTTTCATATCAGGACTACTGCTCCTAGAGAATACATTAACATCGCTTGAAGCTATCCCCGTGTTAATAAAACATACTGTATTAAACGCACAACCTCCATCTTCGGCTTCACATTTGCACATTTCACAGTTAAAACATTATAACCTGAGTACAATATGAACCTGAGATAACTGTAGGCAATGGGGAAAGGCTCAACAGGGACCCAGACAATCTTTGGAAAGCAAAAACATTGGCCTCTATTTGAAACAAAGGATTTATATCCAGAGAATATCCCGAGGCATCACAGAG